AAGTCGAGTGAACACCTCATATACGGCAAGTGGAACGACAGAAAATGCACCGACAACAATCCTTCAGTGTGCCAACTGGCGTAGGCAAAGCATTCAATGCGGCCGATTGAAGTCTGGAAAGGTTTGTGGTTTCATGTACTTACTTCCGTCTTTGCTCCTTTAGCCGATCCAGTCGACCTATTTACGCGCTGCCACTGTAATAAAAGCAGATATAAAATACGACCAACTGATGTTTTTGTTGTACAACCGAGATTGTTGGAGCAGAACCCAAAGATTGTTCAAAACCGAACATTCTCCATGCAAAATCCGTTCAGAACTCGAAGGGGTCTTCTGGCATGATGTGTCAAAAAACGGATTTTTCTTGTCAGTTGCACAGAATGATTGAGTCGAGGTGCTCCTAGGCTCACTCTCCGTTTCACGCACTCGGAGGACCCCGAGTACGAAATCTCAGCATGGGTCTGCAATTCACGGTGTTGACCGTACACCTCTGACCGCGTCACGTGCCACTCCAGTGAGAGGCAAGACGGCAGGTGAGAGAGCTTTTCTGCTTCGCTCAGACCCCGATGCTCGTGCACCACTGCATTTAACAGCGAGCGCCAACGAGGTCACCGCAGTGGCGAGCCGTCAAAGTTTTCGAGCTTGAGCTTCGGCCGCCGAGCCGAGCCATGCGCCGAGCCATGTGCCGAGCCATGTGCCGGGAAATGTGCCGAGCCATGTGCCGGGACATGTGCCGGGTCATATGCCGAGCCATGTGCCGGGACATGTGCCGGGCCATATGCCGAGCCATGTGCCGAGCCATGCGCCGAGCCATTTGCCGAGCCATGTACCGAGCCATGTGCCGGGACATGTGCCGAGCCATGTGCCGGGACATGTGCCGAGCCATGTGCCGAGCCATGTGCCGAGCCATGTGCCGAGTTATGCGCCCGAGCCATGGGCTATGCGGACGATTCGATCGTTTCGGTAGGTTCTGAGAACTGAGTTGTCTGTAAGCAAGAATTTCGGACTTAGGGTCCACACATTTTCAACTGCAAGAGGGAATCAGGTTTGGCGCATTCAAAAGTGAAGGTTTCACAGCTGTCGGCGCTGTAGGCTTTGAAATCTAAGCGGTCTGCTATTGCATGGAATTTTCTCTTCGGGCTTTTGAGGTGTTTGACCTCAGGTCAAGTCTCGCCATTGCGATCTCATGATTCTCCTCATTGCATGAAATCGATTGGTGAAGGTTTAAAAGCAATCGGACGAGCCATTTCGGAAAACGAGCGTGTCAACTCCATGTGCCGGTTTCTTTAGACCCTGTCACGACTGGGAGCCCCTTGGACAATTGGCCGCTACCAAGCGTGTGATCGCACGGGTCATGTGTTACACGTCCACATGCTCGGCAAGATGTTTCGATGGTTTCCATGTTTTTGTGTCAGATGTCGGCACCTAGGACACGGAGCGATCTGGAAGCAGCGTGCTTCGCTGAGAAATCGAACGGACAATCACTGGTACAAATTGTGGTATCGCACGTGCCCGTGTCACAAGACCGCAAGCTACCAAGGCGAACTGTTGCAATTGTGATGCTTTTTCACGTTATGCGCCATATCCCGGCGCCCAGGATAGCTAGAGTGGCGAATCCAACTGCAAAAGCCTACACCAAACCATTATCCATGCTTGAGGATAAGCGTAGCGAAGCAAGCGTGCAAACGCTCGTACGAACCAAATGAAGTGAAATCTCACGAAGATACGGTTAGGACGGGTGGTCGACCGTTTCCCAACGGCTTCTTCCGACCACTGCGCGGCACGTTCTTGGACGGGGACATACTGCAGTATGTTCGTGAAAACAAAATGTTGGCCTGGGTCATTTTAGGTCAGCGATCGACTCTGACCTTTCAAAAGTCAATGGTACATGTCTGTTGCGATCCCTGTCATCAATAAATTCGAAATGAGCACCAGAAACTGCCCCATACACCAAGCTCTCGAATAAAAAACATATTAGTTTTGACCTCGGTCTGACCTTCACATCTTACCACTGATCAATGGAATGGGTTGGCAATGATGAATTCACTTGGTTTACTGTCTCATAAATTATTTCAGATGTGTATTGCTTTGCCTAACACCCCGGTTTCGCATCACGTTGGATGATTGCTCATAAATGCCCTTTGCTGACATCCATAAGCTGATGTTGACCTGTCAAAGGCCAGTGACATTGCAAGGTACATCTAGCTTTTTACATCACCACTATATAATTACCTACAGCTATGAAAAGTTGGCGCATGGGCGCTGCATGACCTACAGCAGTCGATGCGTCCCTAAAACCCCAAATCAAATCAAGAAAAGTTGGCACGACTACCCCGCACCGTTCGGAAAGCATTCTGAAAACCTTCAGAGAGTCAATTTGACCCCCACCCGAGGGCGCGTTAAACTTCTCTTTCGGTACTGGTTTCTGTCACGAACCGCCAGAGCCAGGCATCGTCGTAGCTCTTGCTCTGTCCGCTGCGTCCCGTCGCTGACGCTGACACGGCTCTGTCGACGCTGCGTCTCCTTCTCGGACGGCCGTCCCGTCGCTGACGCTGGACATGACTCTGTCGGCGCTGCGTCTCCTTCGCGGACGCCGTCCTGTCGCTGACGCTGGCACGACACCTGTCGGCGCTGCGTCTCCTTCGCGGACGCCGTCCCGTCGCTGACGCTGACAAGACTCTGTCGACGCTGCGTTTCCTTCTCGGACGCCGTCCCGTCGCTGACGCTGGACAACGGCTCTGTCGACGCTGCGTCTCCTTCTCGGACGCCGTCCCGTCGCTGACGCTGACACGGCTCTGTCGACGCTGCGTCTCTTCTCGGACGCCGTCTCGTCGCTGACGCTGACACGGCTCTGTCGACGCTGCGTCTCCTTCTCGGACGCCGTCTCGTCGCTGACGCTGACACGGCTCTGTCGACGCTGCGTCTCCTTCGCGGACGCCGTCCCCGTCGCTGACGCTGACGCGGCTCTGTCGACGCTGCGTCTCCTTCTCGGACGCCGTCCCGTCGCTGACGCTGACGCGGCTCTGTCGACGCTGCGTCTCCTTCTCGGACGCCGTCCCGTCGCTGACGCTGGACACGGCTCTGTCGGCGCTGCGTTTCCTTCTCGGACGCCGTCCCGTCGCTGACGCTGACACGGCTCTGTCGACGCTGCGTCTCCTTCTCGGACGCCGTCCCGGCGCGAACGACGCCGGGCTGACATCCTGCGTCTCCTGGTGGCGGTCTGTCCCCGTCCAAGAACGTGCCGCGCAGTGGTCGGAGGAAGCCGTTGGGAAACGGTCGACCACCCGTCCTAACCGTGTCTTCGTGAGATTTCACTTCATTTGGTTCGTACAAGCGTTTTGCACGCTTGCTTCGCTACGCTTATCCTCAAGCATGGATAATGGTTTGGTGTAGGCTTTGCAGTTGGATTCGCCACTCTAGCTATCCTGGGCGCCGGGGTATGGCGCATAACGTGAAAAACCGTCAAAATTGCAACCATTCGCCTTGGTAGCTTGTGTTCTTGTGACACGGGCAGGTGCGATACCACAATTTGTACTAGTGAATGTCCGTTCGATTTCTCATCGAAGCACGCTACTTCCAGATCGCTCCGTGTCCTAGGTGCCGACATCTGACACAAAACATGGAAACCATCGAAACATCTTGCCAGCATGTGGACGTGTAACACATGACCCGTGCGATCACACGCTTGGTACCGGCCAATTGTCCAAGGGGCTCCCAGTCGTGACAGGGTCTAAAGAAACCGGCACATGGAGTTGACACGCTCGTTTTCCGAAATGGCTCGTCCGATTGCTTTGAAACCTTCACCAATCGATTGCATGCAATGTGGTGAATCATGAGATTGCACTGGCGAGACTTGACCTGAGGCCAAACACCTCAAAAACGCGAAGAGAAAATTACATGCAATAGCAGACCACTTAGATTTCAAGCCTACAGCACCGACAGCTTTGAAACTTTACTTTTGGATGCTGCCAAAACCTGATTCCCCCTTGCAGTTAAAAATGTGTTGACCCTATGTCCGAAATTCTTGCTTACAGACAACTCAGTTCTCAGAACCTACCGAAACGATCGAACCGTCCGCACAGCACATGGCTCGACACATAGTCTCGGCACATGGCCCAACACATGGCTCGGCGCATGACTCGGCACATGGCTCGGCACATGGCTCAGCACATGGCTCGGTACATGGCTCGGCGCATGGCTCGGCACATGACTCGGCGCATAACTCGGCTCGGCGGCCGTAGCTCAAGTTCGAAAGCTTTGACGGCTCGCCACTGCAGTGACCTCGTTGGAGCTCACTGTTAAATACACTGGTGCACGAGCATCGGGGTCTGAGCGAAGCAGAAAAGCTCTCTCACCTGCAGTCTTGCCTCAATGGAGTGGTACGTAACGCGGTCAGAGGTGCACGGTCGACATCGTGAACTGCAGACCCATGCTGAGAGTACAGACTCGGGGTCCTCCGAGTGCGTGAAACGGAGAGTGAGCCTAGGAGCACCTCGACTCAATCATTCTGTGCAACTGACAAGAAAATTCTCCGTTTTTTTGACACATCGTGCCAGAGACCCCTTTGAGTTCTGCGCAGATTTTGCGTGGAGAATGTTCGGTTTTGAACAATCTTTGGGTTTTGCTCCAACGATCTCGGTTGTACAACAAAAGCATCAGGTGGTCGCATGTTGTATCTGCTTTTATTTCAGTGGCAGCACGTAAATAGGTCGACTCGATCGGTTAGAGAAGCGAATACGGGAGTAAGTACATCAAACCAAAAACCTTTTCAGACTTCTGTCGGTCGCATTGGATGTCTTGCCTACGCCAGTTGGCACACTGAAGGATTGTTGACGGTGCATCGTCTGTCGTTCCACTCGGCGTATATAATATGTTCAGTGGATTTCGATCCCCACATCTCCACACAATCTTCTTCATCGGATGCGTCGTCGGGCTGGCCACGGGCCCATGCCTTGAAGTGCTCTCCCGTCAGTGGACGACCTTCCCAATCGACAAATAAGCCTTCAGCTATACCGATCGTTGATGCCCAGCCACGTGTCCTCTTCACTGGCTATAACGGCGACGCACAGGTTCTCTTCACGACTGCGTGGCACCGCCAGGTGTGAGTTGATCTGTACACAGCTGGCATCAGCTTGGTCATGCGTCATGAACGCCTCTTGCAGTTTGTAGCAGTGTCCAGCGCACCACTTGAAGCCGGCAGGGCAGCTGCACTGAAAGGCACTGGATCCACCCCCTGACTGCTTCAGACTCTCGCAGTAAACATTCAGCGCCTCGTTGACCACCTCCTTGAGGTACTGCCGCAGGGTACCGGCCGTGTAGAGGTCACCACCGCAGCCTGCGAGGCAGACCAGCGCCGAGAAGGCCGGCCACCACCGGACTGCCGGCAGAACGCGCATTCCCTCTCGCGCGCGTCTGGAGCTGGTCCGGCCGCGTGAGACACTGCCTCTCCCACTGTCTGGAGCAGACTGCACCATTGGCATGCGCCGCTTCCATGAACCTCCCAGCTGTCCCGCAACGTGGATATTCCAGGGACAGCCAACCAGTAGCCGGAGATATACTAACCACACATCTCGTGACGTCCTTCATGAATCAGTTGCCAATGCGAGATTACGTGGCGACAGTGCTTATGTTCCATGCCCTCGTGTTAAGTTGGGAAGTGAGAACTTTAACTCCGAGGGAAGCAGCCTATGTCAAATCCAAAGTTCCAATGCTCATAGAAGTTATGTCAAGGAGGGTGTACAAAATTGAACACTACCAAACGTACTTGTGCTTCTTGATTGTTTTGTGCTGATTTGCTCGAGCCAAAAAGTTTGGGAGTTCAGATAAAGAAGAAGCTACTCGCCTCAAATATTGGACGCCCCCCCCTCCCCCCCAGACATCCTGTTCCTAAGCACGAGTGAACTTTAAGTTTTTCTAGAGCGGGACGGACAGCTGTCCTCGCTGTGCGATCATATTTAACGCACCGCTATGCTAGATATTCAAGAGTGCTACTGCTATCGACAATACTTTGAGAATGCGACCGTTATCCCATTTAACTTCAAGCTATAGGCAACATGGACGGAATACAGAGAACTTCGGAAAATGAGAGATTCCTTGGAAAAGAGGAGAATGTGCAGCAAATTGTCGCGCGCACAACGCAAAACATATGTTGTTGTGTTCAAGCCATTTCAGTGGGCGAAGAGGCCGGCTTACGAAATTACGTTTCGGTGTCAAATATGCATATATATGTCAGTAGTAATAGCCTTATTCCTCGCACAAAAACCGAGAGAGTGGAGAAATAGACTGGTTCTCCTGGTTTTTCCCCGAGGAATCAGTTTATTACTGCTGTCTTATATATGTGAATAATGCTACTCACAAATGCACTGAACAACTCAAATATGCATAGTTAAATTTTGGTATCTTAATCCGTTTCGGAAAATCAGTAGCTGATGCGTTCCAGGAAAAAAAGATTAAACTCGACAGCATGGCTCATAATAGCACCACTGTTTCATTTATGTTCATCAACTCTTGAAAAGAAGCGAGCCAGAGACCCACTCTCATACGTAATCTTGGCTCTTATTCGATTGGCAAAATGGGAGCAATCTATTAGGCATTTGGTCACCTTGACCTTGACCTTGAAGGGCGAAAGCTCAGTCTTTAAATGGCAGACGAAAAGACAAAGAGTACAGCAAAGTGACCTGCTGAGACGTTAAGATACATGATGGACAGCTATTTTGTCCGTAACAACCACCATAGGCCATGGCTCATGTTAGCCTCGTTCAGGGCGAAATTCTGGCTGCACCATTTAAAAGGAATGTTTCACATTTGGAGATACTGAAGCAAGCATCAGATATGATGAAACAAGCTCACTTATAACCATTGGCATGCTTTTTAAGGAGAAAAGACTGCTCTAGACAATACATATTTCTGCTTAGCAAACAAGCTGCTCGATGCGTCACGGTTCGATTACGTCATCGTACCTTGCTCAACACGGTACATCACAAGACGGTACATCACGCCAGTTATTCTGGTGTCTGCAGAGCAGCCGGAGCAGACGTCCAGCTGTTGCCTGTGGGCGCGCTTCCCGCCGCGGTGGAAACAGCAAGCGATAGTGAGACGAGTCACAGTGCAACGATCTGCACGTTGTGGTGTAATGACTCAGAGCGGTCAGGATGTACCTATTTTGACAAACTGAACTTGCACACTATTCTCAGTAGACAGGTCGATCACTGGAAGGACAAGGTAGGTAGAGGCTAGTGGCCGGGCGGGTTACCAGCGAATAGCGCGTAGAATACGTGCTATAATAGCGTGTATTCGTGTATAATGAATATACGTGCAGAATAGCGCGACCAGCGCTTCGACGTATGTAGAAAGTTGACATATGGATAAAAGGTCATGTTCTCTCCGTGTCTTGGCGTTATGAGTTTGGAGTTCTCATGTTGAAAATGATCGACCTTCATGGTCCTAGGAGTGAGGAGCGATGTTATCAAGAGGGTATTGGATATGATGAGGAAACCCGACGATTTGAGCCTATGCTTACCGGTAGATTTATTTGCAAAAATAGATGAACACCGCCTCAATAGTTTTTTCAACCCCGGAGTACACCGCACAAAGTGTGTTACTTCCACTCCTCACAACCTTGATGTAGTACACTAGGTGGAAAATATACCGGTGAACCGAATTTAAATAATTCCGTCCCGAAGCCTACCTAGCCTGAAATCTAGCCCCTCTCGACAGCTCAGTTCGTTAGAGCGTCTCCGTTCCGATTCTCCCACTGGTGGTGGGGTGGGTTCGAGTCGCTTCAAGCGCTCGTTATTTGACCCTGACCGGGACAGCCCGCCACCCGTGGCAGCGGCCGCGCCAGCGGTCGGGTGACGTCAGAGGGGCATTGTTGACCGATCCGAGCATTGCGGCACGTTAAGGTCTCACCATAAATGTGTTGTTAACCTGAATTTGCTATCGGATGGTGCGGTCATGGCTCACGCAACAGGCGCTTCTTAGCGTCGACGCCCACCCCAGAGATGTATGCAGTTCAAAAGTTTCGGATGCAGCTTTTCAGGGCTATCAGGGCAAATTATCACTCAATGAAACCACCAGGGCTGCCTGTATCATAAGGCGTTAAAATTTGGCACGCACCATGGCTACGAAGAAAAGCAGCACTTACATCCCAAATACGCAGAAAAGTGCATATATCTCTGATCCCCAGTTGTGTGGACACGTGATATGAAAATATCCCTTCTTTTCCGCGAAAAAAGACGCCCGGAACCCCGAGTGAGGCCTCTCGATTGTGGCGTAAGTTCTCGGTTCGACAAACGAGCGAGCGGTATCGGGTCAGTGATGATGGGGCCGGTAATCAAATGTCCGAGGGTTCTCCGGAATTTAAGGGAGGCATGTGCCCCTGTGCTCCCCCCCCCCCCCCCCCCCGCCTCCGCTACTGAGTGTGGACCACTCCCTTCAAGATACTTGATTTTTGTGTTCAAAATTTGACGGCTTCTGGTAACGCTATGCTTGAAAACACGTGTACTATGTAGCTCAATTGTGGCGGTTTTGTGTTGCGTTCGACACTATATATCGCACGCATGTGAAGTCCAAGCGGTGGGTGGCCGCATGCTTCACAGGGCAGCGACAGGGTCAAACAGGCTACATAAGCTCCGATGTCTGCCATGTTTTCCTGAAATCTGTCGGACAGCAGCGGCAGGCTAACGGATGGACAGTGCTGTCCAGCAACAGCATGAACAATCACAACTGTACACAAGATTCGGCAGGAGATAGTGCTGTTTGAACCATAGCATATATCCGAATTTTTTGCATTTGCTGTGCTCTGCTGCCTCATAAGGCTGCTTAATGCCGTATTTTCAACAAACCCAAAGCATAACTGACCATAGTTTCAAAAGTAGCTACTAAAAAGTTGTCTGAATAAGTGTCTTTCTAATGAGGCCAAAAGGTAGGTATTGGTTGAAGACACTGATGCGTCGGCTGTGGCTTTGACTAGACTGAGGCTTCTTTTGGTCTAGCACAAAATAATGCCCTATACGACAAGTCAACACTTGGCACTCTTGGTAAGACTGGGACCGGCGGATACCATGCAGTTTGAACTAGAAGCATTCATTGGGTCACATCCGTTCTGCAAAGTCACGTCCATGCAGAAGGGTACGACAGTACTTAATGATTTTTCTCCAAATGTTCGCTCATGCCCTTTTCACTCGGCAACTAGCACCCCTAAATCGAAAGTGCTCGTTGCAAGCTATGCAAGAGTTTGCATAAAAACAAGAATAAGTATAGCATAAGCATTGACCTTTACGACGTGTAAGGTGCCTTTAAAATTGCACAGGGTTGTCTCAATATGAGTGATAAATTGCGCAGTTCAAGTGACACAAAATGTGTAAGTATTTTTACCAATTTTTTATAAGCACACAAATTTCACGTTTATGCGTTGTTTCCATGTCCGTTTTTCGACGTATGTAAACAGTACATGGCCGGATCAATCAGTGGCATTTAGCGAAATCCTGTTTATGTGTAAGCGTGCTCGAGCGCATCACTTATGACGATTGACGGATCTTACGTAGACAGTGAAGAAGTTGAAATTTGGTACATCTCTGCCGTTTCCGTGCAGTATAGTATAGTATTTATGAGATCGTGATCAAAAATATGTTTTGGCGTACCGTGCGAGTTTCCGTCAAGTTGCGTCAAACGTCACGTGTCGAGCCCCAGCTGCAAATGCTAGGCAGAAGGCCTATCTTGCACATGGAAATGTTGAAACCGCCATGTTTTCGACTTCGTGGTTCCAAAGGTCGTTGTAGCTTAGACGGCACTAGTTACGACAAGCAGGGATGAAACCGGGCTCGAACGACATGCGGTTCTCATGCAGTCAGCACAGGGACATTTCGTTTCACGCAATGATTATTCAGCATTGCATCCATATCGAAACGTGGACTTTTCGTGACAGAACCGTCGCCTCTTCTGGTGATTCGTGGGAGGACCTCAGCAAGGAGCTGCGCCACTCGCTGAATCGGTTCAGTTCCCCGTCGTTCCTGCACTCTCTGCCGAATTCGACGAGCCCCAACCATGTCGACCAAGAGGACTCGATCACCATCCCGGCCCCGCAGCAGAGGGCCCTTGTGTCGACTCCGCCGCGCAATTTCTCGGAAGTGATCATCACCACGACCCACTGCCACGACATCTGTGTGGGCCCGGATGAAACTCAGCTTCCCAATCCACCAACAGAGGCGCCGGACGGCACCGAGTACGAGCAGGACCGACCAGCGCTGGTCTACGACGGCTGGGACCAGACGATCCCGAATCGAATCGAGGTCAAGTATATCCCCCATGTCACTGCAGTGGTTTCAGGGACGCTTC